GAAACTTACAGCATAACTAGGAAGATCAGATCTTGTTGATTCTCCAAATATTTCTGAATGCTTCAACAATCAACACAAAATTCAGAACAAAATGTCAAAATTCATAAACGAATATAAACTAATAATAAACTAAAGCCAACAAAAGGACAGGCAAGAGTACAACTAAATGCAATGAATGTTGCTTTATCATAAACTTATTTTAAGTTTTCAATACTAGTGTAGATTCATCACATCCATGCCACACCACTTTAAACAAATGCTGTTTTTTATTTTCTCTAGTTTTTCTCAAATCCTTGTGATGTTCTCATGATTCCTTAATTTTCTATTAGAAAAGATTTCATAAAATTTGTGTTTGTTACCGAAATACAACACATCGTTGAATTACTGATAATCATTTACTAAGTGGTTGGACAAAGGTTCACTGGTTCTAAAATCCAAAAAATGATTTACATAGTTAACAAAAATTAGCCACCCTGTGAGCTATACAAATATGGATCTACTTGCATATTTGAACAAAATAACCTGGATATCATTAGCAAGGTTTTAACAAAATCATGTTAGTGTTAACTAACTTGCAGCAAGTTAAGAGAGTTCAAGGAGCAGTTAAAGAAAGATAACATCATCATGGACAAGTTAAACAAACATCAGATCTCATTAAATTTACCTCAAACGTTTCCAAGCCAGTGCCCAGTTGGTCGTTTGACCTTCAATGAATTTGAACAATGTTCAGCTTCAAAAACAATCACTAAACAACATATTACGCTGCAGACTAACTAAACAATAGACAACTCTTTGTCAAACTACATGATGATGATAAAACAAATAAATTAATGACTGTAGCAATAGAATATATGCATGAGCAAAAAAAAAACAGCTAGAGAATCTAACCTGTGATACCAATGTCTGAAAGTAGCATACAGGGACAACACAATCAGAATAACGATGACATTGCAAGAGACGATAGTACTAAGACTGATTCGAGTTGGTCCTTTCTTCTTCTTACTTTGAAGTAGCAATGCCTGTGGTTTGATTTTAGCCATGAGGTGCTTCTTCTAAAGGAAAATAAACAAAAAGTTATCTTTAAGCAAACAAAGACAGATAATTAGTGATTTACAAGATTCAGATAAATCAATGATTGATCAGAGTTATACAAACAGATATCCACATGAAATGACAATTATACAACAATTTATGAAGTTGAAAAAATAAGAAAGCATCAGTGTTCTTCAAAGGAAAGACATTATCTGCAACTGGAAGAATTAAGGTCCATCTAGGTACATAATTGCAAAGCATCACATCAACAATAATATGCTGGAATGACTACTTGAGTAACAATACTTATAAAAGATCTCTTGGAAGCACTATGGTTATCTATAGTGAAAAAGCTCACCACTAACTTCAAAACTTCAAAACTTCAAGTTTACAATAACGATAATATAAGTAGGAAACCTGATCAAACTCCAACCTGTCTACTCATCGTCATTGTATACTTCATTGCTCTACTAGTGAATTAAGATTTAAGAATACAAATTGTGGATGTTTCTGGCAGATTGCAAGTGGCTTCATAAAAATTCAAAACACGATACTAATTTCATGATTTTTACTGTAAAAATATGTATAAGTACTTCCAGCGTCAATCACATGTTTTAATATTGTGGAACATCAGGATGCCACATGATTTTCTTCTTTCTCTTCATTCTCCTTTACTTCCTTCTCAGAGCTCATGTAAAAAACTCAACTCCGGCTAAATGCTTTACCCTCTGAAAGAAGCCAACATGGCATAATTATTTAGATCATCATAGCTTCAATGGACCTAGACACAAGTAGAATACGAAATGACTTTTGGATGTTGTTACTTTCTTGCTTTCCTTAAAGCACAGAATGACTTTGTCTTCTCTGCAATATCATGGACTAATATTTCTTTATATTACTCGATTAGCATGAGAAAGTGATCTTAATGATAAATGATATACCTATAGCAGACTTGAAATAAGTTTCACCATGAAGTTTTTTTTTTTAATATTATTTTGATATAATAGGCACAAAATAGTCTCAAATATTCAAAGCTCATAAAACCAACCACCTGAAACCCCCGTATAAACAAGACCTTGAAAGACATGCTCATTGATGCTCCAACCTGAGTTAATCGATATAGATTGATCTAAAATGCTCGACATACAAGCTGATACGTGACTTGATACAAATATCAGAAAAGCAACGATTTCAGGTACAAGCTCCACGAACCTCGGCAGCTCTTCTTTTTCGCCCATTTCTTTAACTGAGAATTCTTGATTGGGAATTACCATCATCGTCTTCCACATAGTTCTTTATTTAAATACTAATAGCTTCTACATCCAATAAATACAGCAACCCTAGAGGAGCCAATCGGCAGCAATACCCGGATCCCGCTGCCGCATAATACAAACAAAATGTCGACTACAATCATCTCCAAGGACATTAAGCACAAGAATAAATAGACAGTGGGAAATCAAATGGTAAAAGTACACACGATGGTCGACCTTCAAAATCTTCTAAGAAGAAGAAATAAAATTGGTTGGCCGATCTGTGAACAAAGGAAGGTTTCACCAAGTAGATCTAAAGAATATTATGCATCAAACACGCTGTGATTACGGCGGAACGGCTTTGTGGATCAAAAGATTTAGAACCGGGATCTACACCGAGAAGGGTTGAACGGAAAAGGAGCGAGAGGGAGAGCAGCACCTACGATTTAGCGCCGCCACCGCTGCTGCTAGCTACTGGTCCTGTGTCCCTCGTTTGCCCTCTTAACGCCGCATCTGCTGTTGTTTGGATCGGAGGAGGAGAGGAAGAATGACTGCTTGCTTCCGGGGACGTTCGAGTCTCCAATGTGTTGGGCGAAAGGAGGTGAGAGCGACCGATCTCCGTTCCGATTTAATGGAAACCCAAGTGTTCGGCACGGCAATCGGTGGCCGCCATGGGCTGAGCCCAAATATATATTTGAGCCCAAATCATTTTATGGATATTATATACATAATATTTTTTAACAAAATCTCTCATGTGATGATAATAATATTAAAAATATTTATCATTTCATATTTACATATTATAATACCAATGGACCATGATTATTAATGCTTAGGATTTATAGTTAAAGAAATCGACTTATCAGCATGATAGGACATAAATATTTGAGCCCAAATCATTTTATGGATATTATATACATAATATTTTTTTAACAAAATCTCTCATGTGATGATAATAATATTAAAAATATTTATCATTTCTTATTTACATATTATACCAATGGACCATGATTATTAATGCTTAGGATTTAGTATCTGGAAGGACATACATACATACATACTCACAATATTTAGATCTTGGAAGATAACCTATTTTTTTATTTTAATTTTGGTAAAAATTATGTTTTGATTCTTTGCCTCATCTTTTGTTACTAAATAGTGGATAGGATAGGTGGTGTTGTGAAACTAGTCAAGTATGACTTACTTCTATTTACAAATCTTAAAGCCATGCATTCTTTGGTTCTTCTTTAACAATTGTTGGACTTTAAACTTTATTTATAGGCTAAAGAAATCGACTTATCAGCATAATGGGACATAAATAATCCAAGACAATATATTTCTCAACATCGTCATCCTTCAAAAAGTTGATTCTCTCGTGATCTTATAATTCTACCGAGCCTTTCTTAAAATTGGACCTATATACATTAGCTAATTGGGGTGAAACTCATCTATCAAAGTAAAGCATTCATAATAAGATTCCCATTATGAATTAGGAGGAAATGGCTCACTCTACTCATTATTCTAAAGCTAGAAATCCCTACGTGATGGTTTAGAATGATTATTGCTCTTGAGAAGTTATTCCAAAGGTCCTTCCCCTATATAATTTTCTTAACAAAGTCATGAGTTGATCAATGATTCTCTATTGATTAATACATGCTTAGGTTTTTGTATTACTACTTGATTAACGATTCTCCATTGATTTTATAACTACATTTTAGTAGTCCAATGTCTCTCCACCATGAGAGATGAAGGTAATAATATTAGTCTTATCACTCCCTTAAAACGCTAAGAGTATGTTGATGACATTCTAGTTTAAGAATTAATTTGAAAGAGAAATATGATTAGTGTATTTAATCAATTTTGAATGTATTAATTATTAAATAAATAAATAAAAAAAATCAATTTCTCTAATTTAAAATTTTCTTCCCTAACCCACTTACTTATACAGAGACTAAAAGATAATATTTGTTCTTTTTTCATATGAAAAAAGAAGAAAAATTTTCATCTATCTATATATATATCTTGGAACCATATGAATTTCTAGAAAAACCCTTTCCACGCATGACAACAATTGCAAGGCTCTTTCTTATATTAGGTTGCTCATTTGTCCCCTATAAACTCGATCCTTCGTTATACTTTTGTTTACACTCTTAGTGTTTCACATAAAATTGAGCAACACATTAGAAAATTTTTCGGAAAAGGAATATGAATGAGAAGGACATGCATTTGATTGCATAGAACAGTAATACTAATTCAATACTGTGTTAGGACTCTAGCTAGGAGAGTCCTAATTGAGAGGGACATTCATGTAAAACCTACCTAAGCCGATCCGTGAAGAGGTCGGCTAGAGTTAGGAGATTATTTCTTAGAGAAGAATTAGGAGTTGTAAAGAAATATGAGTCTTGAGTATGAGTCATATTAGGAGTTGGTTAAAAGTATGAGTCATATTAGGAGTTAGGGTTTAGAAGCCATATAAATAGTCATATATTCCTTCTCTTTTCATAAGCAATAGATAAATCTTTTCTGCAGCCTTTGAACAACAACTTAGAGGGAGGAACCCCTATAGAGTTTCGAGGAGACCGATCCCCTAAAGAGATCAACCCCAAGTTTAGAATCTGCAAGGGTTCTAACATACTATTAATTGCTCGAAACACAATCCGAATACTTGGTCCTTTTATCATATTTTTCCCTTCTTTTTTCTTAAATAAAACATTGTAAAGAGAGTGTTGGGCAAATTCAATAACCATAATTCATCTAAAGATGTTTGCTTCCGCACATTCATCTTCAAACTAAATCCACCCCCTCCTGCAGTAACAGCTGGTTGGGTGGGGAGGAGACTCAACCTGCCCTACTATCTATTAGGTTTCTGTAAACCATAACACTCAACTTGGGTATTCACACAAGGATCCTATCAGGCATCTTTCTGTCTCCCTAGTCGATCAACAATGAAATGCTTCTTTCCCTCACTGCCCTGCTTAAGCTTTATGCACGCGATCCAGCCAAAAGATTCAGCACCGCCACAATGTATCCAAGCAAAAAACTGCTACTAAGTTTGTGGAACAAAGGTGCCAACATAACCAAAGCCGACGACGAAGAAGGTGATTGCTTGGAGGAAGAGGTAGAGGTAGTAATGGTTCTTCCCGAAAGACAGGTCGTAGCAGCCACAGAAGAAGAGATAGGCTCCTGTGAAGAGCTCCAGTAGATGCAGCCTGATCTCCAAAACAACACAAAGAGCACCTTACTATGCAGGTTGTTGAATAAAGATGGAACTTGACATGGAAAAGATGCGCGCATATGGGATGGCTTACCTATCGCCAATTCTAATTCTTGGCTTCCTCGCTGCCTTGGCAGCCACTTTTGTCTTCATGACATCCCCTAGCTTCTCAGTGACCACCCATTCATTCACTCTCCCTGCTTCCAAGAGGCCAATCAAGGTTGCTTTTGCTCTGTGCAAGGACATGACGTTCTCGAAAAGGATCCAGAACACCAGCAAGTGAAGAGACCTGCGAAGATGAATCGAGTAAGCTATCTTAAAGTTTTGATCAAAGAGATGAAGTCGGTTAGGGACCTCGGTGTTCCGACAGCATTCAGAAGTGTGATGGTGGAAGGAATATAGACTAAACCCCAGTTGGGCACTTCCACCTCAGGGACCAAGACAGTCGCAGGGATCACCACGCAGTAGAATACGAAGGTCACGATGTGAGCTACAATCTTACGAACGAAGAAGAAGCTGTAGATCACATGAACTTTCGTCCAGAGAGTTACATTCTGTATTTTTACAGAGAGACAGAAACGACTTGATCAGATAATGTAGAATGTTAATTGGATTTGTGTTCCATCTTTTGATGTTGCAAGCTAACTTTTACCTTGTTCCTAGCGATATCCATGGCCATTTTCCTGAACAAGTTCGCTGGACCGCAGGACCATCGATGTTGCTGATAGCGGTAGGCCTTGAGAGTACTTGGTAGTTCACTTTTAACCTGAAAACAGAGATTCCATTGAAATCATGAACTGGATTAACAAGTCATGGAAGAACTCGATTCAACTAGATTTCCCTTTTTGAATTGCTTCAACATCCATGAAGTCAGAGCCAGTAAACGCACACTTGGAGTTGCGGTAGATAATGCGTGAGCTACAAGGAAGGATGATGATGAGGCAATTCTCCGAATACCTTGAGGTCTCCAAGGAATATGAATTTCCATCCCTTGAGGCTTGCTCGAACAGCCAAATCCATGTCCTCGACTGTGGTCCTGTCCTTCCAGCCTCCAGCTTCATTGAGAGCTGCGATCCTCCAAACCCCAGCAGTCCCTGTGAACAGAATCCAGTCACTAACGAGAACAGAATGAAGCCCTTCCCTATCTCCTGGTTCTGAGGTGCATCAGGAACTCACCATTGAACCCGAAGAAGGCATAGGTGGAGGATCCCACTTCTTGCTCCACAGTGAAATGGTAATCCAAGGACATCTCCTGCATCCTTGTCATCAAACATTCATTCGAATTCACTGCAATGCATGCATAGCAAAGGCTGGTAAGGAAAGCCAGTATCCGACACTCGAGACGGACGACTCCAAAAGACGGGGATGAACAAGACGAAGAGGTGACGACCCCCGCAAGCAGGTCCCACCAAGCCACGCGTCGCTCGCTAGGCAAGGCGCGTGGGTGGCGGCAACAGGATGGACGTTGCTGTTTTTGCTTCTATAATGTTACGGTGCTTGGCAAACCTACCCTCCGCGAACCAAGCACCGAGGAAAAGGCAATACACACGATTAACAATTGGCTGGATTCGGTGGGTTCCAGGGGTATGGCTACGTGGGTCAGTTACAAGGTCATTTGGTTTGGTGTGCTATCATAATTTAGATTTTGACTCGTCAACGCTGTAGACGGACCCCACCCGATATTTAAGATAGGTCGGAACTGTAGTAAAATAACTTCTTGGATTAGACAAATAATATATTTATTTTCGATTGAAATATATATATACAAGTGGGCTATTGGATTCGTAAAGATCCCCGCTGGCCACTGAAATCTGAAAGGATATGCATCCGCATCTGTGCTTCCAGAAGCGTGCAAGGATACTTGGCACACTACCAAGACATGCCTGAATGATCACCGACGAGCAATAGAAATAGCAATAATGAAATTGGTAAACATAATAGAGCTCACCAGATAATGCCGGTCAGCGTTTTCCTTATAGGAAATGGTGCTGTTAAAACACATATGAAAATATGGCTTAAAAATATTGAGAGCATATAAGCTCAGCTAGGCGTTTCACCATAATAAGTCCAATCAAAGTTAATAACGTTCTCGGTCCAAAAGCTAATGTTCTTAAAGAATGTAGGACCAGCTGCACTGTCAATATTGTTTCTATTACGTCGATGTTAATCATAAGCAACTGTGTTTGACTTTTGACCTGAAAAATGACCCCATCACCAACAGGAGCCAAATGGAGTGCGGCTCCGATCCAACCGCAATCATTCGCGGCTCTCCTGGTCTAAGGTAAACCCAAACTCCTATATCGTACGGATGGCATAACCTATACGTATAGAATAATGACCGACACTCTTCCTCGTTCCAATTTGCTCCCCGTGACTGAATCGAGGTCAGTAGGGAGAGACTGTCATAGTCGCACCAAACATGGCGATTGATGCAGAGGGACCATTTCCGAGCTCCCAAGTCTCGGTGTGAAGCAGGGTAGATGCGCAGGTAAAACAAGCACGAAGCAGAGGGAGGATGGTGAGGATGAGCTTGGAGTGTCGGCAAGGGGGAGGAGGGCGTTACCGAACTTCCAGCGGCCCTGGACGAGGCCAATCTGGGGGTTGTGGACGAGGAAGGGGATGGTGCGCCACAGGAAGTCGGGTTCCGGCTGGAAGTCGGCGTCGAAGACGGCAACGTAGTCGCACTGCTTGACGTAGTTGTGCTTCATCCCCTCCTTGAGCGCTCCGGCCTTGTAGCCGTTCCTGTTGTCCCTGATCTCGTACTTGATGTTCACCCCTTTGCTCGCCCACCTGCGGCACTCTATCTGCACCAGCTCCTGCCACAGGATGCAGTTAGCTGTGAGTGTTTGAAGCAGAGTATAGAATGTAGAGTACCTGCTGGAGAGAGAGAGAGAGAGAGAGAAAGAGAGAGAGTCTTTTGGTGATTAATGCAGGCAATGAATGATGCAATCAATGAGCACTCTGAGCATTGTAATCGGTGAGTACGGATGCTTTATTCTTCCCTCGCAAAAGTTAGAGAGAGAACAAAAGTTTCGAGCATTGATTTGATGCATTGGAAGTCTTTTACCTTGATCGCGGGATCTGTGGAATCGTCGAGCACTTGGATTATGATACGGTCTGATGGCCATGAGAGCCCGCACGCAGCTCCAATGGAGAGCTGGTACACCTGTAGGGATGCAGGCGTAACATGAGGTTACGGTTCAAGGAACTTCAGGGCAGGTGGGAGGAGTGAGGTGAGACCTCCTTTTCGTTGTACATGGGGATTTGAACGAGGACCATGGGGTAGGCGGCATTGCCAAGCTCGGCGTCGTCCCCCATCGGCTCCCACTTGTAGCGCGTCTCGGGCCGGCGGCGGAAAAGCTTGACGAGGACGATGACGACGGCCATGTACACTTTCTCGACGAAGAGCATGACGGACATGGCCAGGCAGAGGAGAACGGAGAGCCGCAGCGGGGGGACGATCACCGGCGCCTTGATCTGCTGCCATACGACCCCCAGCTGCTCCGTGATGTCGTCCCTCGCCCCCTGGAACGCCTCGGGAAGAATGGCCGTCGAAGATAGCCTGTCCATCTTCTCTTCTCTGCTTCCTCGCTTGATCTCCGGAGCAAAGCAAGCGGAATGCACAAAGCTCAAATTGCAAAAGCTACCCGGGTGGCGCAGGACTGCCTTCCTCTTCACCTACGGATCTAGCAATAAGAGAGAAAGAGAAACGACGAAGAGAAGAGCCCTTTCTCTGACAAGATTCACCTAAACCAGCATGGCAGCAGAGGATGATAGGAAGGAAACAAGAGGGTAGCAAGCGAAAGGTAGAACGCCGTGCTCGTCTTTGAATTGTGCTTCCTCCACAGAACTCTCAACCTTGGTCCTGTCTCTTCTCCCCCAAGCCGAGAGGGAGGGGAGCGAGAGGAAGACACTAACGTAGAGGGAAGGAGGGAGAGAAAACGCGGACGGGACACGATTGTGTGCGCACACCCTTTAAATAAACAATAGCCCATCAGCTAAAACGAAAAAGAAAAAATATTTCTTTTTTTTGTTTTTTAGCAATTTAGCCTTAGCATCATTTTCTACATCCAAATTTAAAATTTACACCTCATTTCTGCTGATTTGGTTTGCAAGTCTTGATTTAAGCCACTAAATAGCCACAATGTGTGGAATAATATTATTTTCGCATTAATTGTTTTGTAGATATAATAGATTAAAAATATTGGATTTCTCAGATATTCATATTCTAGGCATATTAATAATCGATAATAATATTATTATTATTTGTTGTAGTTTAATATGTATAAGCCAGTCGGGTCTAAGAAAGGGAGCAGAAATGAAGACCACCGACAAAGCCCAAACGAAACGTGGCAGTGCCGAGGCGGCGGCAGCGGCAGCGACGGCGCCACCACCGTTTACCATCAAGAACTAGTACTTGCCGGCACAAATCATGGGGCCGCGCCGCCACCAGGGTTGCTTTCCGGTTACCTGACGCCTCCCAGTCCTAGAAGCACGGGGTTCGGCTTGCTTGTTACTGCTTCCCCTGTTTGCTCCTCGGCAACTGCAGCTGAGTCGCTACTGTGACATCCTTTTTGCGCCATCACAATTAGAATCTGCAGCTAATGCTGTGTGCTAATATGACATCCGGCCACCTACCTCAACAGATGCGGAAGGGATCTCAAGCTGCTGCTGAGTGCTAATATGGCGTCCTGCTATCTCATCTCTTATCACTCGAGGTTAGCAACGCAAAGGATGATGGCTTTCGTTGCATGCCAATGAGAATTTTCAGCCACTGCTTGCTGACTGCTAACGTGACATCCTCTGCTAATTCATCACAAGCAGAAAGAAGTTGCTGCTGCTGCTGAGTGATGACATGACATCCTGCTACCTTGTCATTGGATCTTGATGGAGACAAGGTCAGCAGAGCAAATGAGTGACAGAATTATGTTGATGAATCTCCCTATGTATGTTCGGTAAAATGAAAATATTCTTCATATAGGTGGTGCCATAAAAAAAAGAGAGGAAGAGAGCAAGAGAGAAGAGGAATGGGATCATGAAACGACGATAGATGTCTTTGTGTTTATCCCGTCACTTAGTCTGATAGTGTGTATTTGGATCCCTTTCTCAGAATTCTATTCTTCATTCATCCTTCCTCATCATCTACCGCTCCTGTTTGCGTAAGTGACTCGAACGCTGTTCTCCCAAAAAAAGAACACCCTTACCATTACACTATTATATGCTGTTCTCGCAATCGTATGCTGTTCTTCTTCTTCTTCCGCAGTCGGGAAGAAGACTTGCTCCGAATGCCGTGCATGGTTGAACGAACAGCCCGAGCAGCACATCCCAGGAGTTGCCGACAGTGCGCAGTGGTAGGTAGGAGAAGCTGTTACAGACAATTAGCATTCACGTTCATGGCGTCACATCAGATTTCTTAGGCTTCCTGTTGCGCACGCAGGACTCAACGAGATCCACCCACCTTCGTCGATCGCTTTGCTTCAAAGCAGCAGAATAACTCACTTGGTTCTCTATGATTAGAGAAGCCAAAGCAATCTTGTGATTACCCACAACTGTTTGCATCTCCACGAAGAACATGACACGCTTGTTTTTCGTCCAAGGAAACATGGCATTTCTCTACGGTCCCTTCACATCAACAATCATTCATGTGCTGCACTAACATGGCTATGATGTTTGCCTGTACTGCCAGTAACATCACTTTGACAATGTGTTGCCATAGTCTACTCCCAACCATGAAGAATCAGCGTGCATTTGATACAATGAATCTCCTAACACCTTTCCTCAGATCTAAAACCAAGTCGAAGGCATTGGTAATTGTCCTTTATTCTTGCCGAGCAGCAAGTCAGATGCCCGTGCTGCCTTGCCCTTTCTCATCACAGCAGTCCTCCTGTAGAATGATAGATCATGGATGGAGAACAAAACAAATGCTGCAGCTGCTGCCACAGCTTTGTGGTTTTGTCAAGAGATGAATCCCCTACCAAATCAGTTCGTCCTTGCAGACAAATCAGCACAAACCAATCAATCATTGGCCCAAAAAACCAAATAAGTATGGTAGGAAGGAATATATCCTGCAGATTTGCTGTCACTTGTATATCAGAGTTGTATAAGCCTGCTACATATAATATTTGATGCAAGAGAACTGCTTGCTGATCTCATTTAATCAGGTGCATCACTAACAACCTCATCAATGAACAATAATAAAAAAAAGCAGCGAGGCATCAGAGCAAGCTTCTTAATTCAACAACTTGCTATATCTTCAACCCACCAAATTGTTGTTAGTAGGATAACATATTCCTTCTAACACCATGGCCATTTGACATGTTAGAGAAAAACAAGCATCAAACAATAAGCTTTCAAATGGCAGCTGTAAAGAACCGAGTTGTCTGCAAGTCCACTGTTCCCAGCACATAACAAAAGAGGCCAACCTCCCTCCCCAGTATTGTTTTGGTTGTGATGTCAATTTAGTTGGTATGCCATCCATTCCTTGAGGGAATAGGAATAGCATCACAAAGTAGAAGCTTCACTACATGCATCGTCTCTCATGGTAGAAAGAAGAGTCCAGTCTTTTGTCTACATCAGTGGATTGGAGATGTCTGTGGCTTTCATCCTTTTTTATGGTCTGCATGAATCGGTCAAAGAAATTTCTTCACCATTTGCTCTATACACATTTTTGAGCATGGAGAGGTGGTTCTGTCGATATTGTCCTTATCGACAAGTGGTAAAGGAGACACTCAAGCCATCAACTTGAATTGTTTATTCCTAAAATTTTCAAAATAGTTTATAGAACATCCAAAATGAGTTCATGTTGCTATTTTGTATGTCATATGAGTGGGGTCCAAGTATCCATTTGGACGTTGAGAATTGTGATTAGGAGAGCAGTAACCCAATCAAGTGGAGCAATTAATTAGGTGTTCACATATTTTGTTTTCCCAATGATTTCACAACGTCACACACAAATCATGGACTCATCAACCACTAATATCGCCTCTGATACTCAAACTAGACGGTATTATGTCTCTCTCATTGACCTATCATCCCAAGCCATTTCAGAAGAAATAAATAAATATTTATACTATAGTAGAAATCATATATTATTAATTGTGACACTTTATCCTCTTAGGTCATTTGTCACTCAGGAAAAAAATTTCAGACAGGTGACTAATAGGAATCGTTGACTTTTTCATGCATTTGCATCCATCTTTCACCGTAAGCCGTTCTAAGGATCAGACCGGTCTTACATGAGTCAACGATCCATGTGCCCAAATTGGGGAAAGAATTCACATTAGATGGCACAAATTAAGGGTATGGTATGAGATTTTGTCAAGTTTTGTTATCTTCTTAGTTTACATGCAGTCAATCAAACATAGTAATGTGCCTAAATTGGGGAAAGAAGTCACATTCGACGGCAGTCAATCAAACATAGTAATGTGCCTAAACTGGGCAAAGAAGTCACATTAGATGGCACAAATTAAGGGTATAGTATGAGATTTTGTCGAGTTTTGTTATCTTCTTAGTTTACATGAGTCTGTTTACTACTACTACTACTACTACTACTATGAGATTGTGCCTAGTTTTGTTATCTTCTTAGTTTTGTTATGTGCCTAGTTTTGTTATCTTCCTAGTTTTGTTATCTTCTTAGTTTTGTTATGTTCCTAGTTTTGTTATCTTCTTAGTTTTGTTATGTGCCTAGTTTTGTTATCTTCTTAGTTTTGTTATGTGCCTAGTTTTGTTATCTTCCTAGTTTTGTTATCTTCGTAGTTTTGTTATGTGCCTAGTTTTGTTATCTTCTTAGTTTACATGAGTTAGTTTTGTTATGTACTACTACTACTTAGTTACTACTACTACTACTACTACTTAGTTTTGTTATGTGCCTAGTTTTGTTATCTTCCTAGTTTTGTTATCTTCTTAGTTTTGTTATGTGCCTAGTTTTGTTATCTTCTTAGTTTACATAAGTTAATTTTGTTATGTACTACTACTACTACTACTGCTGCTGCTGCTGCTGCTGAGCAGCAGCTGCAGCTACTACTACTACTGCTACTGCTACTGCTACTGCTACTGCTACTACTTGAGGCCTAATCTGAAACAAGTGAAGAATGAGACATTTGGACAGCATCAGTATCCACTATAGAGTAATCCAAGACATTAAGATGACTATACCTTTCACATATAACCTACAACACAGAGGTGTGTCATGAGGAATGACACAAGTAATAATTTTATTACCCATCATTTTAAGACGCATCAATAAAATTGTTATATGTTATCCTTTCTTTTAGAACCCATCATACGAGTCTAAGATGGTTACTGCACAAAATGATGATTTAGGTGAAAACCTGGGAACATACCAAGGGACCCCTTCTTGTAACTCTCTAATAGTTTGCAGCAATCAGGTGATTGTTGCAATAGGGGCTCAAAGTATGATATCACATTGTGCTTAGATCTCAAAAGTACAATAAGTTGCAGTCCTATTAGCTATTATGATTAGAACTGTTCTCCTAATATAACAACTCATCACAAAACTGCTAGCAGACTCATAACTCATCAACCTAGTTATATAGTGACTTCTTCATATGATTAGGAGACAGTTCTTCAATTGTATAACATTACGGAACAAAATAGAAAGGAAGATTCTGAAAACTTTGATGTATCCACCAAAGAATGCAGATATAGGGTAGAAGCTATCGGCATTGGTTTAGATATGTTTCAAAGCAAACAGCTGGTCATCAAGAAGGAAAAGCAAACAAGAATATCAACTGAGATTCAATTAACTGAAGATTTTGCTAGCAAATACCAAGCAACAGATGTAGCAGAAAGAGATGAAACAAATAGGCAGAAAGAGGTGAAAAGATAAGGAGTGACTTAACAGTGTCGATCAGCCAAAAATAATTTACAAGACAGTTTTCAGTTAAATTGTAGAACTTACAGGCGAAGCACATCAGAATAGAGAGGAAGACTCGTCACCCAATCCCTAATAACGAAACAGATGCAGGATGGAATCTACAGGCATTGGTTTCGAACTTTAGATAAGTTCATAAATAAACAGATACTCATCGAGAAGGAAAAGAAAATAAAATTCTGCTATTAATCATTCGTATATGCGACAAATAATTTATAAGAGAAATGAGGAATGAAATGAATGGCCAATAAGGAAACTGAAGTTCCAGAGAGAACATGAACCTAAGCCTTCCTTTTCTTCCTTTTTTTCTTTTTCCCCTTTCTCTTGGAAATTGGTGTACAATACTAGTTTCTTCAAGATCCATATTAAAAACAATCTATTCCAACCTAGTTTTTCCAACTATTCCAAAAACAAAAAACAACTATAATCTTTCTTCTTATCATTCTTAAATAGGCAGATTGACGTAACGAAAAAGCAGACAGCCATGATATTTCTTTGTTTTGTCTCCATCGAAAGCCCAATCTAAAGGCACTCTATATCCATCCAGGATTTATAAGGTAAACTAATTTTAATACATAGGCTCCTAATTCTTTTCATGTTAAACTTACCATACAATTGTCTCAGACAAACTTCAAATCTCAAACTCCTAACACCCTTGAGGCTTTAACTGCATCAATATTGCACAGAAATCAACATACCGCACAACCAGAAGAATTAGAACAATGACAAACAGGAAAAATATACAAAAGAAAATAAAATGTATTCGCTACGCAAGCGCAATTGCTAGTTCTTGGAATGAATGAGGTCCAATAAATAAGGTTGCGGGTGCACATGCTTTGTTAGGAAATGTCCCAAACATTTCCACGAGAATATGCCTCTTAAAAATTGACCTATTTCTCAAGTTTTTTGTAATACTCTGCTTTATGTTACCCAACAACTTCCATGTTGATCTCTCAGTTTCTTTACTCTGGCATTTCAACAAACACGTCTTCCACCCACAATTATGATACCAAAACACAACCATCACGTGATCTCCAAAAAGCCAGGAGCTAAAACAATATAATAAAGAAGGCGTTAATGATCATAAGGTTCCCATTATTTCATGATCTGAAACCATAATAAACTGCAACCGTAGCAAGATGCGATTTCTCCGAATCCAACATTATGGAAGAAACGAACAGTAGACCACCAACCTGAAGACGAAAGAGGAGGAGACGAGAGAAGCAAGGATTGGGATTAGAGGGCTTTCAGCATGTCGTCCGCGCCGCTGAAGGTAAAGGCGCCGCCCTCTTCCAAGTTGAGGACTTTGACGACGCCGTCCTCCACCAGCATCGCGTAGCGCCGGGACCGAACGCCCAGGCCCGCGGGTTTGTCCCGCAGGTCGAGCTCAACGCCGAGGGCCCTGGTGAAGTCCCCGTTGCCGTCGGAGAGCAGCAGCACCTCGTCCCCGATCTTGAGGTCCTCCTTCCACGCCCGCATCACGAAGACGTCGTTGACGGAGACGCAAGCGATGGTGTCCACGCCCCTGGCGCGCAGCTCCCCGGCCTTCTCCACGAAGCCGGGGAGGTGCTTCTGGGTGCACGTCGGGGTGAAGGCCCCCGGGACGGCGACGAGCACGGCTCTCTTGCCCTTGGTGAGCTCCGAGACGGTGACGGTCTTGATCTCCTCGTCGGGGCCGAAGTAGGAGAGGGTGGCGTCGGGGAGCTTGTCGCCGACGGAGATGGTGGTCGAGGAGGCAACGGCGGCGGGTGCCGAAGCGAAGCACCGGGGGAAGGCGGCGGGCCGCAGTCGGAGGGTGGAAGTGGCATGGGGGAGGATGCGGGGCACGCGGATGGCGACGAAGGGGCGGAGGCGGACGACGGCGGAGGAGCGGGAGGCGGGGGCGACGAACTTGGCGCCGGCTTCGGTGAGAGAAGCTGCCATCTCCGTGAGCGGTGGAATCACCCGAGTACGACGCATGCGATGAGAATAGTTATCGAACAGCTGTGTCCTGTTAATCGAAGCACATCATGTCTACCCACTCGACACGTACTTCCTCACCAGTTGGGTCGGTTGGTGAGCGTGGTGGCAACGAACCCATCGATTCAGGAATCGATCGGGTCGGGTCGGTTCGGTTCGCTCCTGAAATCATCTCCGGTTCGATTCCCCAAAATATAAAATAAGACAATGAAAACATAGGATAAGAATAATAATCCTAATGAATTTTATCCCTGCGAACGTGAAAATTTTCACGGCAAATTTTACCGAACATGAAAACGTAACACCTTAAAATATAATATATTCTTAAAGCAAAAAAATAAAAATAAAAATAAAATCAAACTAAGTAACTTATGCTTGTATTTAATTCAGATAAACGAAATTTAAATTTTGATGAATTTCTATTTGATTCGATTTGATTTGATTTTTTTTATACAATATAGATTTACATGTTATGAGTTGAGATCCAACTTGGGCGTAATAACTACAATAAAATCCTAAATTTTCTATTATTTCCATCCTCTCTCTTTCTATCTCCAACTCGGATTAAGAAAAGAGACTACCATTTGGTTTTTAACTTAAATCTTAACTCGATTAATTATTTAGATATTCGAGTTCATTCTTCCTGATCCAACTCGGATTTATTTTTCTACTTGCTACTTCATCTCAAACTTGATTAACGAATCCTATAACTTAGCTTAAGTGGGTCAAATAAAATGATGATTTTGAAAAGAAAGAAAGAAAGTAACGGATCTCAGCTAATCTAATTGATGAACATTTTTGACAGTTAATTGCAAGATTCTAAGAGTCAATCAATCCCCTTCATCATTTATCCTAAGATCATTAATTGCCCACACCAAATGCTGAGATTGAGTTAACGCATAACAACAATAGTTTAATCAAGTTGTTGAGACTCAAAATTAACTACAAAGCCAAAGAAAGAAAAGAAAAAACTAAACACAACATAAATTAGGCCATTGAATGAGGTAGCAATTGGAACATCAACACACCTTTTCTTTTTCCTCATCCAGAATTATTAGATTGAAATGCATAATTAAGGGGTGCAAACTCAAGGCTGGGATGTAGGAAATAGATTCCAGAAACTCAAGTTCACAGGACACATTTCGCATATTCCTTATGAAAACCCTACTAGGGACTAATTACTACCCAGCCTTCCACCCTCATTCCAATGAAGGCCATAGAATAGCTATTGTTGGTTCTATCAGCAAAAGAAATGGTAAATTGTATATTCCAAGTATAAGGATGCCACACATTTTGATACAAAAAGAATACTAACACAAAATAATCAATTACATAAATGAATGAATCAAGGATTGCTGCTATAACATCAACAATGACAGTTGAAATTAGTCGTTACAATCTTCGAGTTAATAGAGTCCTAAGATAAGTATATGTAGCATGGGACTTCCAAGGGTCCCAAAGGGCAGGAAATCCTATTGTTGCATGTTTTCAGGATTATCATTCTTCAAGGATGCAGATTGATCTCCAGACTCCTGCAAACACAAGCCAGCATTGTCCCACTTATCAAACTCCAAGTTTCCATCCAAAACATGCAAAACAGGATCCCATGGCACATCAAGTCCAGCAGCAAAACCCAGCACACTGGGATCATGAACAAAGTCCTCCCAGACATTTCCTTCGCAACCGAAAGATTGTTGTCCAGCCTCAGTGACTGCTTCCCATACTTCTTCCTGGTCGATGGTAATATCCCTCGCTGGTCCTTTGTCCCTCATTTTCTCCTCGGAAGCATCTTCAGGGAATGATATGAGATCCTCGGACGCACCGTAGGTGGCATCCAAAGTGTAACTAACAGTGTTCTTTCCCCTTAAGACAAGACTAACCAGATCTTGCGTCATACTCTCGCTTGGAGGGACAGTAGCACTGAAAGAAGTTCTCTCTGTTTCAACACCCTGAGAGAAAGATGAAAAACATTCAGCAGGAGTGATGCTAAGTTGAATCTGACTCTGATGGCTCTCAGGATTCTTGGCCATTGATGAAACAGTGGCAGCATCCAGAAACAGTGGGGCCAATGCATCAACTTCAGCTTCATCTAAGCCTTCAATAAGTTCTTCTCCACTTGCATGAAGTCCGAGTTTCTCAACAAAATCTGGCAAAATATCTGGAATTTCTTTGTTCACAACATGTTCAGGGTCTTGCAATGTAGAAGCAGCAACAACTTCAAAACCAAGCATATTCTTCGCACCTTGGTCGATGGATCCAATTGCATCAGTGTTGCTCGATGGTTTTTGTTTAAGAAACTTTCTTATCACCCTCGGAGAAGCAATGCCACTCTGCTCCTGCTGCTGTCTAAGATGAACCAAGAAGACTGGGTTTCGAATTACCTTTGCCAAGAAAGAAACCATTTGCTTCTGCCTCTGTTCTGCTGATTGCATCTGCAGTTTGAGCATATCCATCTGTTTGACTGTTATGAGGTGTTCCTGCTGCAATCTCATGATCTCCTGCATCAGAGCACTCCTATCACTTTTAAGCATGTGGATTTCACCTTCCAATCCAGAGTTCTCCGGTTCGGCTGACAAGCTTACTTGCATGGCAATTTGGTGGACCTGAGATGACCTGCGCCTGTTAATGTTTTTCAACAAAACTCTATTTCCTTGTAAAAAATCTTCATTCGCAAATTCCCATCTATCAGCATCAATCTTGTGAAAACCCTGAAGAGAATCACTAAAAAATCAGTTATATACACACACACACACACATATATAAATACATGTATATGTATATGTATACATATATATATATTTATATATATATATACATACATATATTACATTGTTGGGAGAAATACTTTGTGAATCAGCTTCAATTAACCTGCTTCCAGTCAAGGTATTATAACTTAACAAAAATATATTGTAAATACAAGGACACAAATATTTTGTATCTTCATTGCATAGAGTTTATTAACTGAGGGATGAAAATTCACCTTTACATGGATAATAAACATGCTGAAGAACAAACTTGCTTGAACGGACCTAGTCCCGGGAAGAACTCCACGTTATAGGCATCAAATTACAAGCATAAAGTACTAAATTCTCAATCCAAGTAATTCAAAAATCATTTGAAGAGTGTTGAATGCATAACATTTCTCAAGAGTACTGACCAAACGAAGTACAAAACAGAATCTGGTTTTCACCTTTCAATCAATGAAAATTTGTTTTAGACATCAAAGATTTCCTGCATGTATCAGACTATTAAAAATATGTAAAGTAATATTTATGAGAATAACACAAGAAAGCCTAGCAGCCTCAAAGATGAATATAAATCCAGCTAATGCACATTGTTTATGTAAGTTTTTGTATTAGGAACTGCGGAAGTTCATGAGAAGTATGCCACGCTAAGTGATTGACATCAGAAACATAAAAATCCCTAATTATAACAATCAACAAATATTGCAAGTGTTATCTGGAAGAAGAGCATATAGCCTGACATACAATCTCCTTAATCTAACAAGTAACACTTATTGCAAGTGTTATCTGGAAATAGAGCTGATAGCCATCTTCTAATAAGCTGAATAAAAAAGCCCATAATTTACTATTCTCCTTCATACTTCATCAGGTGAAACAATATCATGGAACTTTTGGGACTTGATGAATACCACCCCTCTACTTGTATGGTTAAGGCCATATACATTTACCATCCCCAGACCCTGTATTGATAGGAGACCCATGACATGAGCTGCCTTTTAGTCAATGGATACCATCCAAAAAGATGACACAGGGAGGAAGTGTCCACAATCTGCAGAACTTGCTTATTTGAAGATGAACACAGAACATCACTGTCCTCCCACATAAGAAAATTGACTATTCAAATGAATATCACACTCCTAAAGTACCTGCAAAATAAAAAATTACCAACCTCATGTAGATTAAAATCTCAATCATCCAAAGGTACAAGTGTGCTTTTTAAATTTGACAATTATTCATCTCTTCAAACATTTTGGTCTTTTAGGACTGCTCTATTTAATATACCTAGTTGTCTTCTCTTTAGTTCTACTTGTTTGCCCTTGAGCTGTTACCGAATTTTTAACAATATTATGTAACTTGATCCAGATAATTAGGATATTTATCTTTTTAAATTTAGGTATTCAACTTATTCAACCCATTTTGCCACCTCTTACTTCCTCTACATTCTGAATAGTTATCCAATACTGTACTCAAGCAAAGATCAATGGATAGTTACAATTTATGTATCCTTGTCTATCCTTTCAAGCACAGCCAAATACATAAGCATCTTGGACCTTTTAATTTTCTATCGAGCCTCCTTAAACAGACATATCCTGGCTCTTTGTTCTCAGCATGACATTGGTTGCTCATAACAGAAGAAACAGATCAAGAGTGGGCATATTGATATATGAAATAGGGAAGAGAATTTTCTCGTCTCAAGATCTTAAAGAGATACTCATGTTATGTTATAAATGCTTCTAACACCACCTGTTTAATTCTATGGTTGGCATGGTACATGCTACTGGCATGGCACAGTATATTGTCACGCCCAAGGATTATTCAGATAAAATGCTGATTTTCACCTGGACATCATGTCTCATAAATGAAGGTCTCAAACACAATCATGGGCCCCGTATTGGGCTAAATATTGTAGGTTTTGTCACTGGCACATTAAGATATTGACCGGCATAACCCAATCAAAAGAAAGGACCTTGCCAACCCTATAACTTACAGGGAATTAGTCTAGTTCTCTACATTTAGTGTTTGCCCATCACTTAAGCATTGAGGTGGAGAAAGATCAAGGGCATGGGGCTTGTATGCTTCATCCAGGTTTAATTTATCAAACCTTGATAAGGATAAGGAAGGAAAAGAAGAAATAGACAGGAAGAGGAAGAGAGATGGAGAAGGAAATGAGGAATGGGAAGGGAAGAAAGGAGAGGAGAGAAGGGTGAGAAGATGGCTGCCGTATTCAAGGCTGGAGAGGAGGAGCTTGCAGATTAAGAGAAAAATTGAGATGTCAGGAGCATATTATAGTTTTCTACAAAAGTCCACGCTTCAAAATGCCCTTATCTTTTCCTATTCAAGGTTTGACATTTACCTCTAGCTACTTCTTAAAGATATAGTGCTTCACACTACAGCTACCTTTGTTAAAATGTGCTGATCAATAAATCTACTTCACCTTCCAAAACTTCAAATGTCAAAACTGGAATTTCCAATTTTTTTCTTCACTATTCATATCTACCATCAGTTTTCCTGAATTTTGAAAACTCCATAACAACTGCAGCAAAGGTTTATTGATGACAATGAAGGAAGAAAATACCTGAAGGCAACTTTCCAGAGACCTAGTTCCACTTGGGATGAAACAAATAGACGCCCTCAATAACATTCACTCAGTCTTAAGGTGCTCGCCAATTGAACTGCAACTTCTTGTTAATGGTAGCCTCTGTCTATCGAATATTTCTGTCTCAACATGTTAAACATCAATAAGATTCCTCCACTTTGGTCCCAATTCAATTTGGTTCCTCAATAGTTGTCACACTGCTGTAATATTAAAATAAACTCCACATTATTTCCTCACTTGTTATTTGTTTTTCATGCCAACTTGATTAGGCTGCTTATTATGATTATACACTCTCGACCAGTTCTCTATTCTGCCAAAGATCTATTTTACAGAAGTTTCAACAATGACATGATGCTGCCCTGTGAGGATGATGTTTCCATTTCTTACATTGAAGAATTATCCACAGAATTATTTCAGGGTAAAGGTCATCAGATTCCCATTATCTTTTATTGTTATTATTATTATTACTATTATTATTATTATGTTTGTCTCAAAAATGGCAAGCTCTAACATTATTTTCCAGCAGGATATCTGAGGCCTAAAGATCCTAGTAAGCAAGTTTTCATGGAACATTAGTTGCCAAAGCTTTTGGACATGCTATTGTTAAGAACTATTCCAATAGTCTATCTAAGCATCTAGTTTGCTAATTTCTAATGGTTCCGTAGAGTGCATTGCATCCTATTCCTTCAATCAAATTGCTAAAGATTCAAGTTTATATCAGAAATATGATCATCTTCAAATAAATGAGAGCTTTCCTTTCAATGATTTTAGTCAGCAGAATGATTTTACACTGAAGTTTCTAAGAAGAACAAATATAGAGCATCTCCTACAATTATTCTGATGCCTCATGTCCTTACCTCGATTTCAGATATCATTGTTTATTCTCAACATTTTGGTGAAGGACATTGAATTTACATACCACTTCTATGCTCAAATCAGCCACTAGCTTAGATCTAGCAATCAACTTATATACTCTCACAAGACAATGTCAAGTGATACAAACATGAACTCTATCAATCATATAATTAGTCCCTCCACACTAAACATGCACCTAAAAGTACTCCCAATACATCTAAGCCAACAAGTAATTGGCTTCCAAAGTCTAGACGCGTTTCTCAGAAAGACCACTCCGGCTCTTGCATGCATCAAGAGCTTACCCCACTTAAGATGCAAGGAACCTATACGTGCCATAATCCAGTGGACCTTGCAGGTAATAGAAAAAGCATAGGATCACGACTCTTGATGTGAAAAAGGCCACATCAAAGATAGGAAATAGGCAAACGGAAGTTTACAGAAGTACAACTTCTAGTCTAACAGAAGCACAAGTATGGAACACAAACATGTTTGATGACAGTGCCATCTACAAGCAAACAGTTCATCCAACTTAATATGACTTCTATTGTAAGTTTGAAGCTCACCTTTTGAGAAGATAAGCCATACTTCAAAAATTCATCCCCATTGTGGCACGTCTCATCAACAGGGCAGTCTTGATGGCTTTGTGGCAGTTGTAGATCCCGGTTGTTAACTATTCTTGTCAAGTCTCCATTTTCATATAATTGTTACATAACACCAAATCTTTGTACAATTTACATAAGCAAATACAATACTTCCACCAGAAAACACACGGGCTAGGCACTAAAGGGACTAGTTTTCATGTGCAAATTCAAGAGTATGTACAACAGTAAAGAAGAATGGATCTACATAACGAGTTTATGCGAATGAAGGATACAACGTGATTTTAGGAGCCCTCAGCAGCAATCTACATAGGAATTAACACCATTCAAAACTCAGCACCAATTAACATGGAAAAACAAGTAAAGAATACACCTTTGGGGGAACAGAATTAGAAAGGGGAAGCATATAAAGACGGGAAAAGAGATTAACGAACAACAAAATGGTACCCACATAAGTATTGAGTTGGCGGACGAAGCTCGAGAAGTTGTTATGCTTGAAGTGCCGGGGGAGGACCACACGGGCGAACTCCACGGGATCCCACACCACGAAGCTCCGGCCGGCGGGGGCCCACGAGAGGACCGCGTCGAGGGCGGGGTCATCAACGAGCTCGTAGGTCTTGGAGAGGAAGGGCGGGATGGGGGAAGACTGAAGCGCTTCGAGCGGCCTGGGGACTCCCTCCCCGCCGCCACCTCCGCCATCTGGCTGCAAGGCGGAAGGAGCTGCAGCGGCGGAGTCGGGCAAGGGGGAAACCGAAGGGGATGGCGGCGAGAGGCGCGAAGGTTCACCTGGTGGTTCCATCTTCGGCCGCAATCGCGGGGATTGGGAGGAGTTGGAAGCGGAGCGGCCCCCGAAATCCATCAGTGGAGAACGGAGAAACGTAATCGAGCGAGGCGAGGAGCAAATGGCGGTGAGCGGGATTCGCTTGCATACTTACTACCCCTCCTCTACATATAGATATATAGTTATGCCCCTGGTGCAGCCATCGTATGGACCACTAGGTTCACGGCACGTAATTACAACCAATTGCCAATCGACACGACACCAGGTGACCGTGTGGGACCCACTTTTTCTGACCAAGGAGGGCAGATATTTTCTGGAACCGCAGAAATTACTTCGCGGAGAAGGAAGGGATCCGCCGGCGATACGACCGGATGCGGCAGTTTGTGGTCCCGTAATATAAAAGATGTAACGGACAGCATCCTGTAATTTACCTGACCGTTATATCCCATCGGCCAATTCATCGGAACAAGTCGTCGTGCTGACGAAAATTCAATGGGGCTGCTTTTGTGTTTATTCTTAATCATCTATTCGTCTAACAAGAAATATTTTCGATTACGTATATATTTTTATATTTATCCTACTTTTATTGCACTTAATATTTTATCATCATAACTATCTATTATAAATACACCATACAATTCAGTCTAACACAATAATAATGCATGTCATTTAATATTTTTATTAAAATATTAAATGAGACTGTTGTTATATAGCTCAAAACCTATATATGTTGCTAATTTCAGTTTAACTCCTAATCCTATAATAGAGGGGCCCACTCCCACGCAAATTTTATTCGAATTGGGGATCTCTTGCCGAGCGGTGTGAGATGCTATTTATTGTACAGCAACTTTTTAATGTTTTT